TTTTGTAATCAGCACCTAACTTTTGGTATTGGAAATTAACCTCTGAAGCAATTTCTCAAGGCCTAGCTGAAAAGCACCAGTTGCTTCTTCCACTGCTGTTGCCAAACGCCTGACTGCGGTCACTGCGTCCCTGCGAAGCTCATTGGCAGTATCTTGCTGAGCACTCGCCTCCTCACCAATAGCAATCAGCCTGTCCAGTTTTTCTTCCTCACGCTTTGAAAGTTCTCGTGCCAATCTCCTGTTTTCTGCCAGCTCAGCAGCAATAGTCCTGGCCACTGAACGCCTTCTTCGCCTTGCCCACCTTGGTGGTGGCTCACTGGCCAAACATCTATCTCCACCAGAAACAAAAGGAACTCTGGAAGTGGAGACGTGAGGCCGCTGTGTGGAGGCTACACCAGGAGTGTTTCGGCTGGTGCTGGTGCAGGGACTGGGCTCACCGGACACACCCAATCTGGTCATGGTGCTGCTCGGACAGGGAGCAACTGCACCTCTGAAAAGGTTGTGGGAGCTGCTGTAGCTGGGGGTCCCTTGAGAGCACCCTGAAAAACAAAGCAACAATGTTGCAACGAGGACATTCCTGCTAAAGGAATGCTTGAAGCCAGCAGCAGAGTTGAAAGACAATTACAAAACTGTGGTAGTTTCTGGCAAAGTCTCTTGCAACAAGGGACTGCAAAGTTAATTTGATTAACCTGGCCAGTCTACTTCCAAAATCTCCCCCTCAACTTTCCTCAAACTCTATGCAACTCTCTGTCCCTCTCCATTTCTACAAATTCCTAGTAAGTACCATCATAAATTACATTAAAAACTACTTTGGTTCTTCCAGAGCACTTATTCTGGGTTTAAAGAGTTCTAATGCACTATATACCTAGCTTTATCACTTTTTAAGACTTAGGGCCTTTTATCTCACTATTTGGTGAGCGGGAAGGAGAGAGGCACCACAGGTCAGAAATTGAGACTACAGGAAGACACTACCCAAATGTATAGTACTGTTTAGAACCAAGCTGCTTCAGGACCCCAATCTTTTACATGCTTGGGAGTTACCTGCACCAGAGGATTCATCCCAGGAGTCCTCAAGGTCACTGGCTTCTCGAATCCGGTTACTGAGTCTCAGTTGACAATCCTCATCTGATTCCTTAACTGTTTTCAAGATAGGCTGATCATCTGCTGCCTGAGTCCTTTTTGCTTTCAGGATGCTGATTCCCTCTTCCCCTGGGAGATCAGAGGCCACTAAATTCTGATCACAGTGCTTGGCCCAGGCAGTGTCCTCCATTAAGTGGTCTGGATCAGTCACTATCTGATTTCGGAGAAGCTGATCCAGTGTATCATAAAACGGACAGTGTGGTGGATCACCCATACTGGTGGCATGGGCAACGTATGCTTTTAAGTATAATGCCTTCAGAACTTTAAACTTGGAGCGACACTGGCGTTCGGTGCGACGGAAGCCTTCCTGCTGCATTCGCTTAGACACAGCCTGATAGACATCTGCATTATGGTGCACAGTCTGGAGGCGCTGAATGTACTCTGCCTCGCCTAATATGGAGAGAAGAGTTCGTGTCTCCTGTCTGGTCCACCGGATGCCCGCACTGCTATTGGTACTGGCCATAGTGGACTGGGAAGGAAACGCCAGGACAGCAAGGTGCAAATCTGAAGATGTGGGGAAGCTCTGTGTGCTCTCCAGGAGCCAGACGATTCTTCCCTCTCAGGACTAATTGCTGAGAAGCCAGGTCCAAGGACCGCATTTCTGACTGGAAGGCCACAGGGGAATGAAAGTTATAGGAAGGGTGTAAGGACAAGTTTGGCAGCAAGAAAGGTGGAGCTACCATGAATACTTCATAAACAGATATGAGGTCAAGACTGAGAAAGCCCAACTTTTGGGAATTCACCCAAGATGGATTATTGGAGCACAGACTAGCAAAGGCCTTAACGGTTTGATAACAAAACCATAAGGACAAAGTCTTCCAAGGCTGAGGCTCGGTACAAAGTATCTACAGAAAACATGACTGCCCCATAAATAGGCAAGTTAAGGAGGGAAACAGCCTAGACCAAAAAGTTACTTAATTCTGGAGAAGTACTAGCAGGGTCAAATTATAGCAAAGTGTCTGAAGGGCCCTCACCTTATACTAACTTTGATCTAGGTACTACACTGTGACCATATGTCACTCATCTACCACCATGGCACTATTTTATTTAAAGGTCACTTTCAAAACAAGTGACTCCTCCCCAAAACCCATGTACATATAAAAGAAATAATTATCAAAATTTATCTGTAATCATAAGATCCTAGAACCATAAACACAAGGAAATGTCTACTTAATTCCCAATTGAACCAAGTGCAAAATTAGGATCCTGAGAATGAGGGTTAGAAGACCTGAACCGAAATAATTACCCAGGCCACCCCTAAGCAATTTATGAATGCCACAAGTTCTATGTGCCTTGTTTTTTTCTCATTTATAAACGAGGAGGGAAAATACTTGTCCTACCAACCTTACAAGGATGTTAAGAGGATTAAATAATAGATGTGAAAGCACTCTGAAATTATAAAAACTCTGTATTAAGTATTACTAGTCCAACAAAAATGAAACCTCTAATTACAGTAATCTATAATTTGAGGAAACAGAAGTCTGGGAAAGCAATCCTCTTTAATCTTTTAATTAAAGCTACAACAGATTAACCTGATTCTTACTTAAGACATTAATTAAGGTATTTCTCTAATAATTATATGGGCAAGCCAACTGGAAAAGTTACTTTCAAGAAAATGTCACAAAGACCCTGACAGAAGAAAAGCAATAGCTTCTACATAAATCATGATCTATTTTATTTTAACACATTTCATGAAATCCAACTATATTGCAGTCTTCAAATTTCCAAAAACTTTACAAGCCCCCCCCCCCCCCCCCCAAATAGGAAAAGTCCAATTACTCCCTGAATTATTCTGGCATCAAAATATTGGGAGCTATGTATAACCACAGACCTGTCAGCAAGAAATGTACCTTGGGTGAATTTCATCCTTCAGAACACTCAAAATAATCAAAAGAAATCACTTATTGGGGGAGGGGATATACTCCCTAAAATGACTCGCATCATGCACAGCAGTGAATGAACAAATTGTACTGTTTCTAACTTCATTTCACATTATGCTTCAAATGCATAAACACAATTTTATGTAAAGGTATTATTTTGTTCCTTACCTTCTGCCAAGGATCTGCTTTACTTTCATTACAGTATTTGAAATATTCCTTATTCTACTTTGCTTAGCTGCCAGACCAACAACCTGAAAAAGAGCAACATATTACAACGCATGTCATTTTGATGAATTACAAAGTTCAAATGTGAGTGGAGTAGTACCTCTTCATTTTCTGAGTAAGCAACAACAGCTGGAGTGACTCTGTCACCTGCATCGTTTGCAACCACACCAGCCCGGCCATCCTGAGGAAAAAAACAACCACCACAAAACTATTAGTCATTTAGAAATGAAAGTCTTTTTAGGCATATTCGAACATATGCGGGTATCACTTTGCACACCAAGAAAAACTGCTTTATCAATATTTTACATTTGCAGATAATCCCCATTGTTAATCACCCAGTTACAGAAGGCCTACATTCCAAGAACAACTGCCTCATTTTCTTCAGCCTGTTTTGCACAGCCAATAATTGGATCAAGTATAATAACCATCTTTTAATATATAACAAGTAGCTTATTATTACATCAGCCCTTCTACTTTTCTCCCTTCCCCCATAAATACATCTTCCACCGTTTTCTTGTACAAATTAAGAAATACTAATCCCTTTGGCTTTTTGTTTACAAAAACAGGAGACGACTTATCAGGAGAGTTCATTATTCCTGTTCCTTCCCATTTTCTACTGATTAGTGAAAAGCCACAAGTCCTATTTCTCACTTTTCAGCATCACATCCAAGAAAGAACAGTTGAGCACAGCACGCACGATCAGGTCGCTCCACAGCTGGGCACAGTTCACATGCACATATCCAGTTCCAGATTGCCAGCACCCCGCCCTCTCCTAGCATCGGTCGAGAGACCTCTGGCTGGCCGGTTTCAGGTTCAAGAGCCGCTGCGGTGCACGCATCCCCAGGCAGCCTACAGCTTCACGTGTCTGGGACCCGGTGCCCACCATCAGGCATTCAGCGGCCCTGACACCGCGGGATCCCAGCCACGACGTCTCCGGGACCGGCCGCCTCCGGGCATCCTGCGGGCGTCAAGTCTCCGAGACCCCGTGCCCATCTCCACGCATCTTTCAGTCCTACTGTCTCGGGGAACCCTGCGCAACAACGTTGCCACGACACCCTGCCCGGACGCCGCAGGTTTCCCCAGCCCGTAAGCAGGAGCTGCGATGAACGAGGCCTGATTCGCGCGCCCCTTTGCCCCTTCCCCTCGCAGTAACGCCAATCCGTGTGCCGTCCCCAACCCCGAAGACGACCAAAAGACGTGACCCAAGGCCAGTATAGAGTGGCCCACATGAAACACCAGGACCCAGCTCCGCAAGTCCTTCACCTTGTAGATGGCAACACAGGCGGATGTACAACCCAAGTGAACGCCGATGGCCGCCATATGGCGGCAGATAGGGTGGCAGTAGTAGTAACTACTTGTCCCCGAGTGGCAGCAGCTACCGGCCTCAACACAAGCCCAGCAGGCACCGCGGAGACTTCACGTTCCCGCCCGCCCACTGCGTACGGTCGATTTGCGTCGGCCTCCTGCGTCGCCGCCAATCAGTGTAAAGGTTCCGCCTTCCGTTGCGAGGCCAATTGCTTGAGTGCGTCCCTGTGTGCGCAAGCGCCATACTGGAAGGAAAAGAAAAGGTTGATTGGCTCCTCCCACTCCTAAGCCTTCTGTGAGAGCCAATGGAAATTCTCGGTTGATTTGCGTCATTTGTCTTAGTAACTCAGGGTAGATTTGCTCCAATTTTGCTCAGCTCTTTTGCGTCCTTAACAGCTCCTGGTGGTACAAGAGGGTTTATCTTTGGGCATTTGGAATTGCTGGTTCAGCATGTGGTGTGCGAGCCCAGCAACAATGGTGGCCTTTTGCACCGGGTTTTGGGTTTCTAATTCCATGCTGACGCGGGGTCTCGAAGCCCTGGGGCGGCCGGGGGCCGACTGTGAAGGTGAGCCGTGTGAGACCTGCTTGCATGGCAGTGGCAATCTGCTGCAGCACAGCTGTTGTAGGCTTTGGCTTTTCCAGACGCGGCTATAAATAATATTTCACTCAAATGGAAGCCGTTCCCGTTCCAAATTTCAGATCGCCACAGTTCAAATCCAGGAAAAGTTCGAGCTAGGTCCAGTCAGTGTAGTGAATAAGATTGGTGTCACCCAGTGTGATAACTTGTCACTCCTCTCCTCCACACGCTAAACCACCTCAGAACTAGATCATACAGAATTCCTGGTACAGACATAACTCTGAGATACTATTTGCTATCCAATCACCGCAAATATGATTATCACAGAGTGGGTCATACGAATTTTTTTATTTCTCATGTACAGAAAAGTTATGTATATACTCTATTGTAGCCTATTTAGTTTGCAATAGCATGAAAAATTTGGAATATTGGGAAAATTACCTTAAAGTAACAGAGACGTGAAATGAGCACATGCTGCACATCTTCGAGTTGGCATAGCTGTCACTACATGTTTTTATCCATATTTTTCCTGCAATGCAGCTCGTTAATTTGAACCTAGTGCCTTTGGAGTTGTAAAAGTAAGTCATTAGAGCTCCCTATATTTGTAAAAAAAACCAAAACCAAAACAAACACCAAAAAAACCCACAAACAAACAAAACCCCCAAAAAACAACCCAACAAACTTTTATTGTTGTTGTTATGTGCCATCGAGTCAACTAGGACTCATAGTGACTCTTTGAACAACAGATTGAAACCTTGAAGCATCTGTGAAACACAAGTTCACTGAAACAAGTTATACCTGTAATAGCTACTATAAATTTTAATCATAAGCTATGCAATACAGTTGTAAAGTGCTTAAATGGAATATTTCTTAGATTATATGAATACTAACAACTAAATTGTAATCTTTCTACATTGAATTACATTATTAGATGTAAAAAAGTCTTTACATTTGATTTTCTGTTTTTTTTCTCCTCTTAATGATTTTATTTCATTCTAAAAAAATGTTACTGCTCAACCCACAAATGCTATGTAAGGTAGATCTTGGCAGAAAGCAAAGAATACCAGAAGAATGTCTGTCTGTGCTTTATTGACTATGCAAAGGCTTTTGACTGTGTGGATCACAACAAGCTATAGCTGTCTCTGAGAAGAATGGGAATCCCAGAACATTTGATTGTGCTAATGCGAAACCGATATTTGGACCAAGAGACAGTTGTCAGAGCAGAGCAGGGAGACACTACATGGTTCAAAATCAAGAAAGGGGTCCGTCAGGGATGTATTTTGTCTCCACACCTTTTCAATCTGTATGCAGAACAGATCACCCGTGATGCTGGGCTGTACGAGGAGGAATGTGGCATCAGGATTGGTGGAAGAATCATCAACAGCCTGCATTATGCAGATGACACAACCCTGCTTGCTGAAACTGAGGAGGACCTGAAGCGCTTGCTGCAAAAGGTCAAGGACTACAGTCTTCAATATGAATTGAAGCTCAATATCAAGAAAACAAAGATTCTCACCACTGGGCCAATTGGCAGCATCAGTATGGATGGTGAAGATATTGAGATAGTTAACAGTTTTCATTTACTTGGTTCCACAGTCAACACTCTTGTTAACAGCAGCCAGGAAATCAGGAGACGAATTGCATTGGGAAAGTCAGCTGTGAGGGACCTCTCAAGAGTACTGAAGAGCAATGACATCAGGCTGGAGACTAAGGTGAACCTGATCCAGGCTATAGTCTTCGCAATTATGTGCTATGCACCAGAGAGTTGGAAAGTGAATAGAGATGATAGAAAGAGAATCGATGCCTTTGAGCTGTGGTGCTGGAGAAGAGTGTTGAATATACTTTGAGCTGTGGTGCTGGAGAAGAGTGTTGAATATACCATGGACTGCTAGGAGAACAAACAGATTTGTCTTGGGGAGGGTGAAGCCAGAATGTTCCCTGGAGTCAAGGATTCTGAAGCTTTGTCTAACATACTTTGGGCATGTTGCAAGGAGGGACTGGTCCTTGGAGAGGGACATCATGTTTGGGAGAGTGGAGGGATGGCGCAGGAGAGATGGATTGATTCTGTGAGTGGAGTGGTGGGAATGAATGTGTTTGAGACAGTGAGGCTGGCACAGGATAAAACGGCATTTAGGGCTCTTTTACATAGGGTCGCTATGAGTCGCAAATGACTCGATGGCACATACCACCACCAACAACAACAATAATGCAGCTAATACACAAGAAAAATTGATGAAATTAGTGACTATAAAAATGCCAACAACTAGGGTTAGGGTTAGGAAAGAAAAAAAAATGCCAACAACAATGAAAACAACAATGCATGTTTGGTGGCTATAAAGATGTAAATACATTACTTACAAGAACATTATAATTCAGGAATAACAATGCTGACCACAGAGCTTTAGAAACTTAAAAAAGTAAATTAGTATAGTGCATTAAAGTCATAGGTATATTGATACATGTACACTGTTGTTATATGCTGTCAAGTCGCTTGCAACTCCTAACAACCCTATAATAGCCCTGAAACCTGCTCTATCCTGTGCCAACCTTATCATGTCTGACACACCTACTCTCTTTACCCCAGTTATTGAGTCAATCCATCTCATTGAGGGTCTTCCTCTCTTCTGCTGTCCCTCCACCCTTCCAAGCATGATAACCCTTTCCAAGGACTGGTCTCTCCTTGCAATCTGCCTGTGCCTCCAAGGAACAGTCTGGTCTCACCCTCTCATGACAAACTGTGCAGGCTATGGTATATTCAATATTCTTCTAATCAATTCTCTTTCTATCATCCCTAGTCATTGTCCAGCTTTCTGATGCATAGCAAATAATTGAGAAGACCATGGCCTGGATCAGGTGCACTTTAGTCTCCAGAATGACATCGTTGCTCTTTAGTACTCATTGGAGAGGTCCCTGACAGCAGACTTTCCCAATACAATTTGCCTTTTGATTTCCTGGTTACTGGTAGCAAGGATGTTGACTGTGGAGCCAAACAAACTAAAACTATTAATACTCACAATGTCTTCACCATCTATCATCATGCTGCCAATTGGCCCAGTGGTGAGAATCTTTGTTTTCTTAATGTTGAGTTCCAATACATACTGAAAGCTGCAGCCCTTAACCTTCTTCAGCAAGCAATTCAGGTCCTCCTCAGTTTCAGCAAACAGGGTTATGTCATCTACATAGTGCAGATTGTGGATGAGGCTTCTTCTAATGCCGATGCAACATTCCTTCTCATACAGCCCAGCCTCCTAGATGATCTTTTCCTCATATAGATTGAAAAGATACGGAGATAGGACATACACTTGGCATATACCCTTCCTGATTTTGAACCATGCAGTATTTCCTTGCTCTGTTCTGACAATTGCCTTCTGGTCCAAGCATAGGTTTTGCATAAACACAATCAAATGATTTGGGGTTCCCATTCTTCTCAGTCAGTCACAGTTTGTTATGATCCACACAATCAAATGCCTTTCCATAGTCAATGAAACACAGATATGCATTCCTCGGTACTCTCTGCTTTCAGCCAAGATCTGTCTAACCTTAGATATAATATCCCTAGTACCACAGCCTCTTCTAAGCCCAGCCTGAACTTCTGGAAGTTCTCTGTTGATGTACTGTTCCAGTTGTTTTTGGATAATTTACAACAGAATCTTGCTTATATGTGATATTAATGATATTGTTTGAAAATTTCTGCACTCAGTCGGGTGACCTTTCTTTGGAATGAGAACAAATATAGATCTCTTCCAGTCAGTTGGTCAAGTGGTTTACCTCCAGATTTTTTGGCACAATTTGGTGAGCCCATGTCGGGCAGTGTCTGTTTGTTGAAATATGTCAATTGGTATGCCGTCATTTCCTGAAGCCTTGTTTTTTGTCACTTCTTTCAGAGCAGCCTGAACTTCTTCCTTCATCACCACAGGCTCTTGTTCATACATTGTTTCATGAAACTCTGTATCAGTCAATATAAAAATGGGTTTTGTTGTTAGAACTAACTACAAGAATAATTTTTGTATAAAATAATAAATTTCTGTGAAAACACTTCTCAAAGACTATAGATAGTCTTTTAGGCATTACATTCTCTGAAGTGTCACTTGATATGGCCTGATCTCTCTATGCTCCCCTAGTAAGCCACTGGGACTGGTGATATCAATCAGACCCTGAGGCCACGATTTGGTCTCTGCCACAGTGACAGTTGGTGGTTTGGATATGGGTTCACCTTTTGGGAAGTTATTTAAATTCTGATGACCCTGGCACCAAAATTTTTCTGCTTCTAACCAGAAAGCCTTGCTCCTCCTTGGTAGGTATCTTTCAAGAACAGTTTAGTTTGTGACTCTTAAAAGGACAATGTGACAAGTTGTCTGCAATTTAGTTGGAGTGACTCAAACCAGAAGATTTGCTAGGGCTTAAACTAACATTTGCTAGGACTTAGTTAAGAGTTACTTTGCTGTGGCATTTGGACAAGAACAAACTGGGAGGAGGGTAGAGAGAATAGTGCAACAATGAATGAATGGAAACCCAAAATCTCTGTAAATGTTTATGAAAATTAATAAAATATAATTATAGAAAAAAAAAGAGTTACTTTGCAAAGGAGTACACTCTTTGAGGAAGAATGAAACAAAAATGACCCCTTTTGAGTTTATAGAATCTGGGCTGTGTGCTGCAGTCTGAGCACATAGTTCTATGTCCTAACAAGCTCATCTTCACGTTGCTCTTCTTAGTTTGTGCAAAATCAGCCATGGTACTACTTAAGAGGAATTAACGACCTGTCTTGGCATGGTTCATCAGGTATTGGGCTGGTAACTAAAATGCTGCATTCCTCTGATGTTTTGAACCCAATAGCAGCTCCAGAGGTAATGGACAATCTCCTTTCCCTTAAAATTTATAGCCTAGGATACTCAATGGAGAGTTGTATTGAATAAATAACTCTATGGCAGTGAGTTGTACTGTAGAAGAAGTCTTTGAATCATGGTGGTGAAGAGTCCTGACTATCC